CAACATCAATATCGATATTGGTAGAAAGGAACGAAGGACTTTTAGAAAGGAGTTTAGTACTTGGAATAACCGGACATGAAATATTATTCGGTCATTTGATAACACAATTTGTACTCATGGTAGAACAAACCATTTCCGTTTTGGTTTTCACATTTGCCGTTTTTCATTTAACAATTAACGGAAGTATAATTGTTATATTTTTCTTAGTCGTACTCACAGGATTGTGCGGAATGACTTTCGGTAAATTCAAATCCCTTTAATAAAATATTTTTTCTATCGGTTTTTCCGTTAGGTTGGCAATACTTTTTTTTTTCTCCGTAGGTTTTATGGTTGCTTGCTGTTGCGAAAATGAAAGAAGTGCGACTTATATGGCATTAGGAAGTTTTTTACCCATCGTTATGTTATGCGGTACGTACGATTTCCAACCTCGAATCGTCAATAGATACGTTTTCTTTTTATAAATCATTATTATTATTATTTTTTCCAGGTATTATTTGGCCCATAGAGGGTATGCATTTTTCTCTAAAATTTATAAGTTATTTTTTACCTTTGACAAAAAGTACGGAATCTTTAAGATCCATGTTGCAAAGAGGTTGGAATTTTTCAAATCCTGTCGTGAGTGTCGGTTTCCTATCGACTCTTGCATGGATCGGAGTTTTTATGAGCATAAGCGTTTTAGCACTTAAATTTAAAAAAGGTTAAAAAAAAAATTATTTCAAAAGGCTGCAAAGAAATAATAATAATAATAAATACAATTTCGTTTTTATTTATTAGTCAAACTAAACAAAAAAGTTAATAATTTTTATTTCGTGTTAGATTGATTACGTCACTTTTTTTTTCTTATTTTATTTTTTTTTTCTCACGAGTTTTAGATAAATAAATAGTTGTAGAAATATATATATATATAAATAGATGATAAAATTCTAGAATTTTCTATATTGTTGCTATGTCACGAGGAACGTTTGTAAAATTAAATTTTCGCATACAAAATTTCGTCTCGATTGGACGACTAAAAAAAAAATAAATAAATAAATTATTATAATAATCGTTAATAAATTTTTGTTTTCTAGTCGGCTTTTTATTTAAATGCTCTCTCTCTCTCTCGTTTGATTAGTTTTTTTAAAAAAAATTATTATTTGACGTCATCGTGGAAAACAATTTTTTTTTGTTATAAATATATATATAAATATATAAGATGTAAATGAATTTTTTTTTTTATTTACTTAAGCGATGTAAATTCCTTTTTAATTTAAATTTAAATTTTGGCGCCAAAAAAATAAATAATACTCGTGTGCGAGTTAAGAGGAATATAAGTTTTTATTATCGCCGAGGCAGGGATCGATTTTTGCTGTAGTTAATGTGCAATGTAAATAAAAGTTAAAAAAAAAAAGTTTATAGAATTGAGTTATTGTTTATTTGTTTAAAAAAATTATTTAGTTTATTAATTAATTAATTAATTAATTAGTAATTAAAAAAATGGAAACGTGCGAAGTTGATCCGAAACCGGGGAAAAAACTATTATTCTGTTGCGATTTAAATGCCGAATCCGTACTTTTATTAATGTCATTTATTATATTGTACATAGGATTGTTACAGTTTTTTCATTGGTTCGCTTATTTTTGCATATACACGGCAGTTACACAAGTAATATTGATAACATTTTACGAACTCGGGGGTTTTTTACTTCTCTACGCGATGCATTGTAAAATGCCCTCACTTTGTTACATGTTTTTATTTATTATGACGATTACACTTATAACGAACATTATTCACGTCATGTTTATATTCGTTAATCAAGAGTGCCTGAGAGAAAATGTTTTTTGGGCTCTCACAGCGGATATGACTCCGGAAAATTTTATTGCATATTTAGTATCTCTTTACATGACCATAGTCCCTGGTATTAATTTCATCGTAGTTTTATACATATGTTTATTTGTCGCCGATTACATTGCCGGAACGAATCCTTAAATCGATTCATCGATCGATCTATCGATTTCAATCAATTTTTTTTCCCCTGTTTGTTAAAGAAAAAGGTAAAATTATATATATATATATATACTTTTTATTCTTTTATTTTTATTTTTTTTGTGTGTGTGTTTTTGAATAATCCTCTCCTTATATGTTATTTTTTCCCTTAATTAAAATGTATGATAATAATAATAATAATAATAATAATAATAATAATAATAATAATAATAATAAAAATCATTGTCGAAAAATTTTTTTTTCCATTTGTGCGCCCGTAAAAATATGTTTAGACAAATTGTAATACAAGTTTTGATGACGTCATAAAATTTTTTTTACGAAATCCAAATGTTTTGTGTTTGATTTTTTTTTTTCAAAATGAAATTTTTAAGGATTAAATTATTATTATTATTATTGTGGGTTTTTTTTGTTTCGCTACGAAAAAAATTACGTGGCAGTAATTAATAGAAGAAAAAAAAATTTTTTTTTAAATTTCGCGCGTGTTTTCAAAGATTTTAAATGTTTTTTTTACGTGCCGTGCGTAATGATACGCGCGTGATAACATTTTTTTTCGAGCGGTTTTTTTTTTTTTAAAATTCGTTTTAAGAAAAAAAAGAAAAATGACGATTACTCTAGGAAAAGGAAAAAGAAAAACAATTCGAGATTAAGGATCTTTGATGAAAATTGTCGATTACTAGAAAGAGAGAGGAAAAAAAAACAAAAGGAAAATTTTTTTTTTTCCCTTCCTCTCCGATCGCAATCGATTTAAAAGTATAGAAATAATCTTTTTACATTTATATCGTTTTTGGACATTGTTTTGTTTTGTTTCCGGTACGATTACATTCGAAATCTTTTCTTTCTTTTTCTAGAATAAAAAAAAACCGACAAACGGAATAAACGAATTCGTTTATTATCACTTCCGGTTATTTAAAAAAAAAAAAAAAAGTTTTCGACTACTACTAAACTTTACAACTAACTTTTTATCCTATCCTGCCACCACGAAATACATAAATAAATAAATAAATTTATTTATGTATGTATGTATGTAAGTAATCCTCAATAATATTTTATTCATTTGTTTGTTTGTTTGTTTGCTTGTTTGTTTTATTTTATTTTTTTCGTGTTTGTACGTCTCGCGTCGATTGTTTTTTTAAGTCGCGAAGTATTAAACTTTAACTTTAATAACTCTCCTCCTTTCAAAAAAAATTCTTATTAATAATTTATCGATTTATATTTCGATATATTTATAAATCGATATAATTAAACAATCGAAAACAATCGATCGATATTTAAAAAATTTTTTATTTGATTTGTAAAACCAAAAAACGAACAAATCGAATCCTTTTAAAAATTTTTAAATTCGTACATGAAATTTTTTCTTTTTTTTTTTTTTTACTTTACCAATTATTATTATTATTATCATCATCATCATCACTTCCTCACGTACCTACAACCTTACGTTACCAAACAAATACATTTTTTTTGTATTTTTCAGGTAAAAATAAATTTAAACTTTTATGGTAAAAAAAAAAGTCGTGAGTACAGCCAAATAAACCTTAAAAAAAAAGTTTTTTTTTCCATTTCCGTCACGAAAAGTAAAAATGAAAAAAGAAATAATAATAATAATAATAATAATAATTGTACGAACGAAAATAATGATAATATTATCATCATCATCGCTTATAAATAATTTTTTGTTATAAATAAATAAATAAAATTGTAATCGTGTGCAACAACTCAACAATTATTATTATGAAAAAAAAATTTTTTTTTTTACCGTTACCGCCACCGCCATCACCACCGCCATCACAGGTACAATCCCCACCAAAGGATGAAATAATAATAATAAACAAAGTAGAAAAAAATGAAAGATGTTTGCAACGTTACGTAATTTGGAGATATAATGTTATGTTTTTTTTTTTTTTTCATAATAATAAATTGATAGCGAGTAACTCTCGTAAGCGTGGTGGAGGTACCCGACAAACAAGTTCGAATCACTTTAGTTCACAAACAAGCGCAAATTCAATCAACTTCGTTACTCTTTACATTTATTTATTTATTTATTTATTTACTATTATTATCATCATTATTATTATTATTAATTTTTTTTTAAAGTTTTTTTTTTTTACGTGCTAAAAAAATATGGATTAACTTAAATAAAAAAAAAAAAAAAAATAATTTTTTCTGCAAAAAGTTTTAGTTTTTTTTATTTACGTTCGGTTCAGATTTGTTCGGTAAGTTTTTAATCCATTAATTATTATCATTGTTATCATTATCAATATTATTTTAAAATTGATTAAAGTTATTTTAATAATATTTACGAAAAAAAAAAAAAATCATAATAAATTTAATATTTTTTTTTTTCGTTTGTGAGGTAATGAGAAAAATTTAGCAGAAGGTACACTAGGGGCGGGTCGGGAAGAAGGGGGAGAAAAGAGGCGGGAGCAGGGGGTGGTGCTCGTGAAAATTCGTTTTTTTTCCTCCCCCAGGTTCGTTTGTAAATAAAAAAAAATAAAATGAATGAAATTTAAAATTTGAAAAAAAAAAAAAAAAAAAAAACAAAAACTACGCGTTCGTAGTACGCTACGTTACGTTACGTTTCCAATTAATTTATTATTCATATTATTATTATTATTATTATTATTAGGCTGCACCTAAAACGCACACGCCTAAAACAATAAATATATATTTTTTTTTTTTTTTAAATTTTTCTTTACGAATTCGAAAGAGAGAAAAAGAAAAAAAAAACTATCATAAAAATTTGTTTTTATTACAATATGAACACATTTTTGTTACGCGTTGCGTAAAAACACGTACGCACATTTGTTGTTGTTGTTGTTGTTGTTTTTACCGTTGTTTGTTTCGTTCTAGAACCATCGTAAAAACCGTTAAAAATTACGAAATCTCGAGCGAAAAAAAAAATCCGTTCGTTTTTTTCAAATTTATTTTCGTATCCTTTCTCCCTAGTATGACCTCATCATGCATTTAAATCAATTTTCTCTTTTCTTTTTTTAAATTTCCCGCCATTTTTTTCTTTTAAATTAAATTTTCGTAACGTTTTTTCCCCAAATCTAACCGATATACCTAACGTATAATAATAATAAATAATTCGAAAGTATTACGTATTTTTTTTTTTTAAGTAATAGATGAGTAATAATAAAAAAAAAAATTATCTACATCCTTTTAATTTCAAATTAAGAAATTTTCCTTATTATTATTATTATTATTACGATTACGTTTTGTAATTAATTACCGGTAATAAATATTTGATAATAATAATAATAATAATTTAAACTGATTTTGTTATTTTACCACACATTTTACGACACGTCTGTCGTCACTGACTTTATTTCTCAACTTAATATTATTATTATTATTCTACGGCGTGACGAAATTTGGTCCATTTAAAAAAAAAAGTATTATTATTATTGTTATTATTATTATCATTACCAAATTTTTTTTTGTTATCATTTGCTTTTTTTGTTATCACTCCTGATGATACGTCATTTTAAAAAAAAATTAATTATTCGTAGAAAGTGGGTCGCACGTTGTGTTTGTTGTGTCAAAAATTATTCAATCTTATTATTAAATTTTTTTTTTTTTTTTTACATATTTGTTACGATGATGATGATGACAATGATGATGATCATGATGATGATGATGATTTTAACACCATAATAAAAATTGACGGTTTTTTTATTAAATAATAATAATTTTTTTTAATCTTACGTACGCTTTTAATTTTCACGTTTTGTTATTTTCTGAATGAAAAAAAAAATTAAAAAATTGTTGTTGTTGTTGTTGTTTGTTACGTAAAATTTATTTCGATATTTTTTTTTTTTTTACTTAACAAAAATTTAACGCTTTGGTAATAATTTGCAAATTGTTCACAAAAAAAAATTACCGTAATAAAAAAAAAAATTTTTTTTCTATGACGAATACTATCATCAAATACTGACACATGTAAGATTAATTTTTTTTATTAAGAGACATTATGATTAATTATCAAGAGAGAAAGAGATGAAAAGAGAGAGAGAGAGAGAATTTATTTATTTATTTTTATAAATTTCATGACGTCGTAAAAATCAAGCAACAAATTTTTTTTTGACGTGTGACGCATAAATAAGACAAAAACGAAAAAAACTCAAGACATGTCACCAGAAAAAAACAAAACATTCTCGACAATTCGAATTCCTAATAATAATAATAATAATAATAATAATAATAATAATAATAATAATAATTAACAATGGTAATGATTATAATAATAATAATAATGTAAAAATATTCAACAATTCGCGGTCATTTGTTTAACATTCGTTTTTTTCATAAAAAAAGAAAAATAAAAAAGAAAGAGAAAAAAAATTTTAATTAATTCACCGAGGTTATTATCATTATTATTATTATTATTATTATTATTATCGATTAACGGTTATTTAATTAATTATTGGTATTAGAAAAAAAAATCAGATCGCCTTAATCTCATGGGTTGTTTTTTTTTTTTTTTTTCGTAAGGTAAACCGCTGCAACATATTTTATTTCGTATTTTATTTCCGGTTGTTTTTTTATAATTATCATTATTATTATCAATAGGGTTTTTTGTTTTTCTCGAATCCCCCCCCCAAAAAAAAAAAGGAAAAAGAGAGAAGGCTGTCGTAATGAGAAAAGGAGGAAAAAGAATAAAATTATTAATAAAAAATTACGTAATTTTCTTTTAAGAGAATATTACAGTTTAAAAAATAATTATGATGATAATAATAATAATAATAATGTAGTTATTATCTTTCCTCATAATTTTTGAAATGGAGTTATTCATTATTTATTATTATTATAGGTTTTTTTTAAAAAAAAAAAACACTCGATGGAGCTGTTGTTGTAAAACGCTAAATAGTTTTTTTTTTTTTTTTTTTTTTTATGGTTGTTGAATATTTATTTAATTTTGACAAAGTTATTTGCATTTAAATAAGTTTCTCCGGGAAAATTAATTAAATTCTACAAACAACAATTTAACGACTTTGTGCCGTTAAATAACAATTATTTTATCCAATTATTAATTTTAAAACGTTCAACGAAAAACAAACAAAACAAACAAACAAAAAAAAAAATAATCAATAAAAATTTACATCCTACGAAAAGGCAAACTTTTTTTTTTTTTACGCGTTCTATTCTCTCTCACTCTTCCCTTTTCTGTCTCTGTCTCTCTCCTATTGTTTCTCTCTCTGTCTATATTTCTATCTCTTCCCTTTTCTGTCTGTCTGTCTGTTAGTCTCTTCCCTTTTCTGTCTGTTTGTATCTCTCTCTCTCTTTTTACTAAACTAAAAACAACCAAAACAAAAAAAACAAACAATAACAAAACAAATAGATAAAAGAACGGTACAAAAATTCCAATAGTTTTATTATCATTATCATTATTATATTTAAATCCGTTTAGAAATGACGTAATTATTATGACGCTTACGTAAACCTGTCGTGTAAATAACCAAACAATGTGTGACGACATAAAAAACCGATCAAATTTTTTTTTTTTAAATACGAAAAAATTTTCACGCGTCAACAATAACAAACGTGTTAATTTTTTATCAATAACGCATCGGAAAATTTTTTTTTTTTAAATTTTCCCGCGTAAATTTTCCACGAGCGTGTAAAATTGCAATAAAACGCATTTATCGCGTTTAAAGTTTTTATTTTTTTTTTGCATTCATCACATTTTATTTAATAATTATCAAGGAAGTTAATCGTAAATTATAATCGTAGCAAAAAAAAACGCGCGGTCGTAATTAAAAAAAAAACTCGAATGAAAAAAGGAAAAACGCGCGCGTTATTAATATTTAAACGCGTTATTGATTTTTTATTTATTTAATTTCCCGTTAATAAAAATTTTCCAGATGAATTAATCATTCTAGAACCTTCGGAATAAAAAAAAATCAATTAAATTATATTCGATAGTGTTTAAAAGGGAAGAGAGAGAGAGATAGATAGAAAAAAAAATGGCGGATCGTGCAAATATCGTTTGTTTTCACGCGTACAAAACAACGACAAACGACAATTTTTTTTTTAACCGAGAGTAGTGAGTACGTATGACGTAGTGCGTGCGTCGTTAATGAATTATCTCATATTGTTTTCGAATTTTTCCAATTCTTATCACTTATCACACTTTTTTTTTGTTCTCGTCTACTGCCACGTTTAAAAAAAATTTAAATTTAAATTTTTTTTTATTTCGAAAGGATATTATTGCATTCATTGCTTAACAACAACAACCGTAAAAAAAAATTTGCGAGAAAAAAAAAACATTGCGAAGTTTTCTCTCCAGGTATAAATAAATCATAATTTTTTTTTCAATTAAATCAAACGTACCTTATTTAAAATAATAATGATAATGATAATAATGATAATAATTTTAATATCATAACCCTTAAATCGTCGCAAATTTTCGAAAAAAAAAAAAAATCCGTTACGGTGCCTTTTGAAACTACGTCGATAGAAATTTCAAATTTAATTTTTTTTACACAAAGAGAGAGAGAGAGAGAGAGAGACGGGGAGAGAGGGAGTAGGGGGAAGAGGAAGAGAGAGAGAGAGAAAATACAAGGTATTAAATACCTCGGGGATAATCGAAAATGTTTTTTTTTTTTTTGTTATTAAAAAATATTAACAACAACTTGTCATTTAACAAACAAACAAACACACTTGCATAATTTTTATTTTAAAATTTTTGACCCACGCGTTATTGAATATTTTTTTTTCTCTCTCTTTAGGTATTTTATCATTATTATTGAAAATTTCATTCATGAAAATTTTTTACGCATTTACATACTTTCAGTGACGTATCCAATTTTTTTTTTGTCTCTCCCCCGTACGTGGTATGAAAAAAAAAAAAAAAAAAAAAAACAATTTTCTTACGAAAATATTATTTTTATATGGAAGTTTTAATTTTTTTCGAGAGAGAGAGAGAGAAAGAAAGAGAAAAAGAGAGAGAGTTAAATTTTAGGATATTTCATAATAATAATAATAATAATGATGATGATGATGAATTTATTTTTCGTTTTTTTCTTTGAGGGTTTCGAACACGAACAACCGAGTGCGGTCAAGTACGTAAAAAATCTTCTTAAAATTTTTTTTTTTTTTATTAAATAAAAATTAAAAGTGCGTGCGCGAGTGAGTGCGCGAGTGAGTGCGTGAGTGTTTTTAAAAAAACGAATTTTTTATAAAAAAATATTTTAAATATTATTGATATTTATAAGAAAAAGAGGCTGCGTCGTGAAGGTTAAATTATGTAATAACTGGTAGCTGGAGATGGAAGAGACCTACTTTGCTTTCACTCTTTTAACGACTAATACTACCACCACTACCACCACCACTACTAAAAAATCTACGTAATATTACGTAATAATAAAAAGTAATTTAATGCGAATGTTTTTTTTTTTTTTTTTCATTAAAATTCTAACAAAAATTTAATAACAATTTTATTTAAAACAAACATTTTTTTGGTTGTTTGTTGTTTGTCGTCGACGTCGTACAAACTCAATCGATCGGTGATAATAACAAAATAATTTTTTTTTTTTTTAATCGACCTTTTATTAATTTATTTTATTTAAAAAAAATTACGAAACTTTTTTTTTTTTTTTTATTATAAATCTCAACTCGTTTCGTTCGTAATATCGTCGTACGTTCGATTATTATCGAGATATCGATTGGAAAATCCCTTCATTTCCCACCCATTTTTTTTTCCAGGAATAAAAAGAAGCTAAAAAATTACTTTCCCCCCCCCCATGTCATTATAATAAACGCGAAGGAAAATCCATTTAAATCAACAAGTGATAATAATAATAATAATAATAAAATCGTTATTATTATCATTATCATTATCATTATTTATTCAACGAATTTTATATTACAGTTTTTTTTTCCAAGTGATGATTTTTTTTTAATATTTATTAAGAAAAAAAATAAAAAAGTTTTTTTTTTTTTAATGAGGAAGAACGCGAAGAAGAAGAAGCGATTTATAATAATAATAATAATAATGTTAATGATATTATTTACGTAATAATAATAATAATAATAATAATAATAATAATATTTATTACCTGGAATGAAGCCCAAGGCGTAAAGCCTAATTATAATGCTAAATGTTTTTCATATCGCCCTAGACCTTAATTATTTATTCTTAATATTAAATATTATTATTATTATTATTATTTTTGGGGAAAAGTCTAATAAAAAAAAAAAATCAATCGTTTGTTTTCGCCGCCATTTTGTTTTTTTGTTTGTTTAAACAAATAAGATGCGTTGAAAAACAATAAAAAAAAATCATTAATTAAACTTCACCTTTAAAAATAATTAAAAAAGTAAATTTATAATAAAAATGTCATCTCTCTCGTGAACTTTCTTATGACGACAACGACAACAACAACCAACAATCAACAACAAAGAAATTATTAATAATTATTATTTATTTATTAATGGGAAAAACTTTTTTTTTAAAGGTTACGTTTAAATAATAATAATAAAATTTACAATCGTTTTTTTTATTTTTTCAATTATAATATTAATAATTGATTTCGGTCACAGTTCGCGAATAAAGGCATTGATCAATCGATCAATCGATCAATCGATCAATCGATCGATCGATAGATTGTTTATTTTTTAAAATTATACTAATTGATTAACAATCCCACGGATTTTTTCTTTTTTTTCCGGGTCGTTTATGACGTAGGTAAAAATAATTAATTTTGTCGCACCTTAAAACCTTTTTCTTTTACGTCACGAATAACCCGTAAAGGTTATTTATCATCATTATTATTATCATTATCATTATCGTATTTTTAATAAAATGGCGACACTCGTACGAACATCGCTTTAATTTTTTTTTTGCTTTTTTTTTATTTATTTAAGTTCATTATCGGTTTTTCGTATCCTGTTTAAGACGAATCGAAATAAATAAGTAAAAAAACTATAAAAACAAACGTTGCGTTTCGAAACCTGTATTTCAACAAACAAACAAACAAACAAACGAAAAAAAAAATTTTTTTCTAATGATTTTTACGTAAAAAAAAAAAAAAAACTAGTCTGTAAATGTTAGCAACGAACAAATAATGTTTTTTTTTTTTTTTTTTTTTTTTTTATTGCATGACGAAATAATTATTAATTAATATTATTATTATTATTACTACTATCATTATTATTATCGTAAATATTTGTAGTGAGACGAACGAGTCTGAAGTTCGTATTGATAATTTTTTTTTGTTTTTACGACTTCCTCCGCACGAATTTCGTACTTTGGGCAAAAAAAAAAATTAATTTTTGTTTTCTACGAGTTCAAATGTTTATTTGACTTTATTATTATTATTATTATTATTATTATTATTATTACTACGACTTCTGGGAAAATACACGACAGACAAATTGTTTTTTTTTTTAATAAGTTCAAAGTCGACGTGTTTAGTTAGAGAGAGAGAGAGAGAGAAGAGGGAGAGGGTAATTAGCGATTTAAATGAAAAAAAAAAAAAATAATAATGATAACGATTTGATAGTTTTAGTAGCAGAAGAAAAAAAGAAGGATTTAAAATGGAGCCGAGTCAGGATTGTAGTTGGTTACCTTCCAATAATAAAAAAGAATTAGCCGTATCCGTTCGAAATGCATTTAAACAATACGGTATGAAACATAATAGAAACATAGTATTGAACGGTTTAAACATGACTGTCGAAAAGGGAACGATGTAAGTAAGAAAACATTTTCTAACAACAACAAACACTGTCGAAACATAAACTAACAAACACAAAATTTAATTTTACAGATACGGTTTGTTAGGTGCATCCGGTTGTGGTAAAACAACACTTTTAACATGCATTATAGGTCGTCGAAGGCTTAATTCCGGAGACCTTTGGGTATTAGGTGGTAAACCAGGTGAAGAAGGAAGTGGAATACCAGGACCTAGAGTTGGATACATGCCACAAGTATATACACACACATACCAACCTTGTATTTTCGCGCCAAAAAAAAAAAATTAAAATTTTCTCTTACGTTTTGCGTGTTTGTTTGTGATTTTAGGAAATTTCGTTGGTGACAGAATTCACTGTTGGTGAAACTCTAAGATATTTCGGTTGGATATACGGACTCAAATTAAAATACATCAAAGAAAGAACTAAAAAACTAATTAATTTTTTAGATTTACCATCGAGTAGTAGCAACGTTAGGAATTTAAGGTAAAAAACAAACGAAAAACAAACGAAAAAAAACCGGATTTAAAAAAAAAGAAAACAAATCCAGTCTTCATCACATCGGGTTCTTTAAATTTTGGTAATTTTGACCTTTCAAGGACGTTTAACGTTTTTTTTTTTTCTCTTCTTCTTTTTTCATTTTACACGTGTACACGTGGATTCTTAGCGGTGGACAACAACGAAGAGTTTCATTTGCAGCCGCTTTACTTCACGATCCTGAACTTTTAATATTAGATGAACCAACGGTTGGAGTCGATCCCGTATTAAGACAAAAGTAAATCTATTTTCTTCTTATTTTTCTCCTTATTATTATCATTATTATCATCGTAATTTTCTCTCTCATTTTTTATTATATTTAAAGCATATGGAATTATTTGATCGAAATAACATCGAATTCGAAAAAAACGGTTATCATAACGACACATTATATAGAAGAAGCAAGACAAGCGCAAACCGTGAGTAACAACAACCACAACAATCGTTAAATTTCTTTTTGTTATTAACAAACAAATCATTTACAGATCGGTTTGATGAGGGAGGGTGTTCTTTTAGCAGAAGAAAGTCCAAATAAATTATTAATTAAATATAAATGTAACAGTTTAGAAGAAGTTTTTTTAAATTTAAGCGTTTGGCAACAAAAATTATCAGATAAGACTGAATCAAGTTTAGAACAAAACGTTGTAGAAAACAAAATGGTAAATAAATGATGATTATAATAATTAAAATCGATAAATTTTTTAATTGAAAATGTTAACGTTTAAAAGGTACAAGAAGAAAATTGTGAAAATTCATCGGCGGTAATTAAAGTTGAAGTGGATTCAAATTACGAATACAATAGAGAAAACTACGAAGAAAATAATACAAAACCATCATTTAAAAATCACATGAAAGCTCTCGTTTGGAAAAATATTTTATGGATCGAAAGAAATATACCGTAATTATTTTTTACAATTCGAAAAAACCTTTTTTGGTAACGATAAATCACTTTGTTGTTGTTGTTGTTTGTTTTAGGATCATGTTATTCATATTTGTATTACCAATGATACAAATGTGTTTGTTTTGTACGGCAATCGGACGGGATCCAAAAAATCTACATTTGGCCATTGTTAATAACGAATTAGACGAATACCAAAGTTGCGAAGAAGATTTATTTGATTATCAATGTAATTTTACAATGTTGAGTTGTCAATATTTACAATATTTAAAAAATTCCACGACAATCGTTCAGGTATTGTTACCTAATTAAACTAATTAAAAAATTCGTTAAATTTAAAAAATTGCTGTTGTTGTTGTTGTTGTTGTTATTGTCAGGATAATTTCGATTCTTTGAGTTCTGCAAGAAAAGCTGTTGAAAAAGGACAAGCATGGGGTGTAATACATTTCAACGAAAATTATTCTCAAGCTCTTTACGACAGAATTAATCTTGCCGAATATGCATCTGACGAATCAATAAATAATTCCGACATGTTTGTTAATTTAGACATGTCTAGTAAGTCATGTTTGCAACAAACCTTCAATGTCTTCTAATTTAAAAAAATTTTTTTTTTTTACAATTGTGTGGATTTTACTTACAGATCAAGCAATCGGATTACTTTTGTCGAGAGATTTATCATATACTTTTCTCGATTTTATTAAAAAAATATTAACGAGTTGCGATTGGAATCCAAAAATTGTCGAAGTTCCGGTTAAATTTAATACTCCGCCCTATGGCGATTTAAATCCAAGATTTTTAGATTTTACAAGTCCTGGTTCTCTATTAGCGTAAGATTCTTTCATTATTATTATTATTTTAATTTCTAATAATGATGAATTCAAATTATTATTATTGTTCATCATAGTATGATATTTATTCTTGCCGTTGCACTTACCGGAGGTTCCATATTAACAGAAAAAACCGAAGGAACAATCGAAAGATGTTTGGTTGCTGGTGTTAACATGTACGAAATACTTCTCTCGCACATAATAACTGAATTTGTTATTGTGGCCGGACAAATAGCCATCGTTTTAGGTTTTGCTTTTTTAATATTCGATTTGGAAAATCATGGTTCGTGGACATGGATAATATTACTTTCCACACTGCAAGGAATCAATGGAATGAGTTTAGGTTAATTAAAACAAACAAACAAACATAAAATTTAAAAATAAAATAAAAATTGTTACGTAATGTACCTTTGCCTTTTTTTAGGTTTTTTATTATCTTCCGTATTTGATTCACAAGTTATGGCCACACTTTTAGGTGTCGGATATTTTTTGGGAGTACTTTTTCTAAGCGGTATACTCTGGCCGATAGAAGGTATGCATTGGATATTGCAATATTTTATTTGGTGGTCTCCATTAACATATGCTACGAAAGCCATGAGATGCATCATGCACAGAGGATGGGGAATCACAGAACCGGAAGTATATACCGGAGTTATAGCATCAATTGTATGGATAAATATTTATCTAATATTGACTCTTGTAGGTTTGAAATTGAAAAAAGCAGTGCATTAATTTTAATTTTTTAATATTTATAATTAATAATAAGTTTTTAAAGAATAAAATTTATCGTACAACTCACGGGAAATTTAAAAAAAAAAACGTTAAATAACGTCGAGAAATTTGCTATAATTAAATGTCGATTATTTATTAAAAAGTAAAAAAAACTTTGTAAACGATAATTATGTATTTTAAGAAATAATGTGTTAATAAGTTTTTCATCGTTTTAAATTGAATTCGATCGCGACAATGAATACAACACAAAAATTATTAAAAAAAAAACAATTAAATTTTAATTGTCAAGAGCTACGAATAGTGTTATTGGACAATGATCACTACCATATACCTCTTTTCTAATGACACTATCACATACTGTAGACATAATTCTTTCCGATACCACAAAATAATCTAATCTCCTAAAACAAAAAAAAATTCATGATTCCTTTCCAACCATAATTAAAAAAAAAAGTAATTTTAAATTAAACACATTTAAAATCTTACCATCCAGCATTTCTGCTTCTTGCATTTCCTATATAATTCCAATATGTATAAGCTCCTTCTTTATTCGGATATAATTTTCTAAAAGTATCTATAAAACCAGCATTTAAAAGTTTTGTAAATCCATCCCTTTCCTCTTGTGTAAAACCTGCTGTTTTAGTATTTGTCGATGGATTTTTCAAATCGATTTCATTGTGTGCAACATTAAGATCCCCACATAAAATGACAGGTTTTTCTGAATCTAATTTTTTAAGGTATCCTTTGAATGCAACATCCCATTTTAATCGTTTAGGCAGTGTGACAAGTCCTCTTCCTAAGTGTGTAAGTGAAAGAAAAAAAAAATTAATGTACAACAATAGTATGTTGAAAAATGTGTATATCTCGAGTGTTTTACATACCTGCATTTGGTACATAGGCTGTAACTAAATAAAAATCTTCATATTCTGCAGTTATAACTCTACCCTCGGTATCGTGTTCTTTATGACCGATTCCAATTTTAACAGACAAAGGTTTGAGCTTGGAATATAATGCTACACCTGCATAACCCTCCTTTACGCCTAAAAAGTTTTGTAAAATTTTTTAATTAATCGAACCTGATTATACCGAAACACAAATAATATGACTATTAGGTACCTGCAGCAAAATATCTGTGATAACCGGGTAATTTCGATTCTGATGGTGCATTTTTTTCACTGCATTTAGTTTCTTGAAAACACATGACATCTGGTGATTCTCTCCTAACATATTCCATTCCATTTTTATTAGTGATTGATTTTAATGAAACGACATTCCATGATGATATTTTAAAATTCCAAGAATTTCCAGCAGATGAATTTTTAGCACATTTGAAATCGATTATATCAAAATCAGTATCAATTTTATTTAATGGTTTTTTCTCTGATGTTTCTGATTTTCCTTTGACTTTCCCAGAAGTTTCAACTTTATTACTTGAATCGCTATCATCTTTTTTAACTTTGGCCTTTTTATTAACATCTGCAAATTCTGTTATTGTTTTCTGTACTGCCTACAATTCAAAAAAAAAAAAAAAAATTCAAACTTTAATTTTTATTCAGGACAATAATGTCACAGGAAGTTTATTCGCGAATGTAATGTAAATCGAAAATTCAATTAATTGTAAATAGTTTGAAAATTAATCATTATTCTCTATAAGAATTGAATTTGTAAATTTTCTTTTTATTACTCAAGCAAAGTTCAAGTAAATCACAATAACGGATAACCTGAATCAAAACTTTTTTTTTTTATTACCTCATTACTCAAAAATAAAATTACAAACCTTACGTTTAGGCATTATAGACCTAACGAAGGAGGGTAAAAAAATGATTGAAAAAACTATAAATAAATTAAAAATTAATTCAAATTTATATTAGACGCTGCATTAGCCGCTAAAAAAACATTTAATTTTATATAAATCCAAATACTATTGGTACCCCTTTTTTTCAACAGCGGTTTTTTTTTTTTTTTCAAATTAAATTCGACAAAGATAAATTTGTTCAGAAAACCAATTTAAATCTAATTAATTTTGCAAAAGAGTAATATGATGTAAATAATATATATATATATATAATCAATCAAAAATAAAATTAAAAAAATGTCAAAATAATAATTATTATTTTTTTTTTTCAACGGTTGCCTTCTTGATCATCATCGTGTCATTAGATTCAAACGTCATTATTTGTTTTAAGTGAAAACCGTTATCATGCATTTCAGTTTGAATATATATGTTATTGACGGAAAATTAGTTGAATAATTGTAAAAAAAACAATGAATAGTGTTAAAACTTTAAAAAATCCTGAGCTTCAAGCAATATATAAGAAATCAAAAGCATCGACGGAAGATGTACCAGGTTGGAAAGTTTTTATATTTTTACATCAGGATTTTTTTTGGAGAACAGTCATTTCGATTTTAGTTACATTTACATATTTAATGCGGAGCACGGAATATTCATTCAAAGTGTCTATGGAATATTATGAATATTTGGAATATTTAAACAGTTGTATATATTTTGTCGATACCCTAAGCGCAACATTGCACTATTCAATGCCGAAAACTCGGAAATTAAGACACGGGGAAAAAAGAAAACTTTTCTTTTTAGTTATCGATTATTTTACCCTGATACCATTTTACACAATGTATATGTATTTCGTTTTCGATTTTTCCGGTCCTTTTGGAAAAATCATTGTTCATTTACGTTTAAACGTTTGCCTGAGAATTTATCATTTATATTATCTTTTTTCCGAAACGCGATATTGGGTATATAAGATAAAAATTTATTTTATACTCACTTTAATAAAAATAATAATTTTATATGTGGTATTTACACATTTGTTTTGCTGTTTGAATTTTATTAATAAATCATATGCGTTACAAGAGCAATGTTTAAAAGATAGTATAAGTTGCATAATTGAAGGTGAATTATACATATTGGCTTTGTTTTGTCAGACGCAAATATCGGAAACAAATTTTTATCCAATGTCCGTGGAAAATGCATTCGATACGATAACATTTTTTTTTGGATTTTATTTTACATACGGATGCACTTTACCATTACTTTTTTTTACTTTTTTCAATTACGGTTTGGAATATTTGAATTTTTCTAACAAATACAATCAATTGAAAATGATATTGAGAAATTGGACGTCGAACAAAGCCGTAGAAAATAAAATAATCGATTATTACGAATTGGTAAGGAAATACGGGGAGAGTAAAAACAAACCGGAAATAATTAATTATTTCCCATTGTGTTTGCAAAAGAATATTTTTTGTGAAATTTATTGGGAAGCTTTGAGACATTCGGATTTATTCGAAGATCTTAGTTTGGGATGCAAAAGATCCCTCGCACTTTGCATGACTACGAGATTTATACTACCCAACACGACTCTATTGAAAATGAACGCACTTAAATATAAATTTATGTATTTGGAATCGGGTTTGTTGCAAATAATGGCACAGGAAAACGATGCAAGTCCGGTTCTATCACTTTCCGACGGTACCGTTTTGGGAGAATTATCAATTTTTTTACAATTGAAGAGCAAAGCCGTTTTACGAACGGCCAAACTATGCATAATACACTTTTTAAGTTATAAAAGTTTTTTAAAAGCCATGATTTACTATCCGAAAGAAATGAAAAAAATAAATAAAAAAATAAAATACCGTCTCAAATTAGCGAAAACTATACACAAGAGCAAAGCAATTATACACTATCAAACGTCGACGGAAAGCGACAAAGTGAAAGAAAAAGCCGATATAAAATGGCTCAAACAACAATATAAATCCATAAAAGAATTACACATGGCAAATCAAAGGGAAATATTAGCAGAAGAAAAATTAATTATACGACAAGACAAACAAGTTAAACCGACAGAATTTAAAACTCAACTCGGATACACGTCGATATTTTTAAGATTGTTGGTTATTAATGACGAAGTTGTTAATAAATACGAAGCCGTTTGTTTACGTACAAAATGTCCCTGGCTAATTGATCCGAATGCTAAATTTTTAAAAACTTGGAATCACATTGTGATAACGGTGTCTTTTCTTATCGGCGTCTTGTTTCCAATATTCATAGGTTGGTACGCTAAAGTTCCGTCATCTTTGCTTAATTTCTCATCTTTCGTCATCGTTATATATATAATTGATTTAGGATTTTTAATATTTACCGGTATTAAAATTAAAAACACGTTAATAACGAAATTCGAAACGCTAATATTTTACAGATTTACGACTTTAACGTTTTACATAAATGTTATTGCGGCCATACCCTTCGATGCGATTGCAAATTTGCTCTTGTCAGCAGATGACGAAATGTACAAAAGCGGATTATTTTTTCTTATATATTTTTTAAAATTTTACATTTTCGTAAAAGCATTTCACGTTTGGTGCTACGAAAAAAATTCAAAACCCTTTAAAACGGTTTTTTTTAAAAACATGGCATTTTTAGCTATATTAACGTATTGGGCATCGATGGTATTCAAATTAACCGGAGTCGAATGCGTTTTTTTCACTTGCAGTCAAAACGATTGGTATCGCGTTTTCGAAAGGGCCATGGGACCACAGTACAAAGATTACGCATCGGTATTTTTAGTTATTTTTTTGGTATTCAATTTATCCCAAACGATATTCACATCGGATTCGAAAGTTTCTATACTCATATACATAGTAGCGTTGTTTATATTTCGTATAAATTTTTTAGTGTGGAGAGCGGAAATTTTTTCATCATTCGTTTTGGAAAGGTTTCATTTGGTCAAATATAACAGGTTGTCGCAGTTGGTTGCGGATTTCGTGAGCGACAGACAAGTCAAAGGGAGGATAACCAAAAGAGTTATAAACACTCTTTTATTTCAATGGCAATTCGATAAGGGTAATTACATATCGGAAGAAAACAGAATACTAGATAATTTACCACGATACGTTTTAGATCAATTGGATCAAGCGACCATTTACGAAACCATACACAAATGTAAATTGTTTAAAATGGAAAATGAAAGTTTGAAAAAGGATTTGTTGAAATTTTGCCATCGTCTCACGCTACCCGTTAATTCCATACTCACAACGTTCGGTACTCAAAGCATGACGCTTTACATAATACACAAAGGATACGTTCAAATGAATTCGTTTTTGGAAAACGATAAAATTCATAATATCGCGACTCCATTTTATAAAAAAAGCGGTACGATATTTCCAATATTGATTGCTTTCAATCAATATCCATCCGTTTTAAACGTGAGAACTATAACGGATTGCGAATTGTTGGTGTTGAGATTGGAAGATTTTCTATCGACATTAATCAAACACAATATATTTAAAGATTTTGTCGATGCCGTGAAAACGACGGATTTAAACGCATTAGGAAATGCTTCTCCGGGTTTATCGATAGTCGATGCCAATAATGTTAAAATCCCAGAAAAAAAATTAAATTTTTTTAAAAAGTTTAAATTGATCGACACTCTCGTGCAATATATAATATTGGGGAGAGCCATAGACAGCCGTGGTAAAAGGTACATATATTGGGAATGTTTTCGTTTGTTATCGTTTGCCATCGAACTCCTCGCGTGGCCTCTCATTTTCGGAATGCTTTCCATATACGACAAACCAAAAAAAGCATTGATTTTTTTTTTAGTTTTCCTCGAATCTTTTACCTGGATCGATTTTTTTCTTAAAATGAAAGTGGCTTTTTACAATCAAAAAGGGATTTACGTAACGCATCCTTTTAGAACTTTTACCCATTACATAACGACAACTTTTTTCACTGACCTATTGGGTACCGTACCTTATTTTCACATTCTTTACCTCATTAAAATAAATAAATACAATTATCATTGGACGATGTTCATGACGCATATGTTATTGAGAATAACGGGTTGGTATAAATTTTTTAGCCTTTTCAACTACATATCATCTATAACCATATTAACATTTAAAGTTGAATTTTTACATTTTTTATTTTTGATAATTGTTTTACTCAATTGGTACATAAACTGTTTGATTTACGCGTTCAATAGCGGATTCCATTTTCATTATCTCAACCGTAAAGATCCTGTGGCTATAAATTATTACAAAATCGTATTTACCTCTCTTCGGTATTTGGCGAGAGGTAAATATTCATTTAACATGTTAAATTTGATAACGATGCTTAACGTTATATCCGTTCCATTGGTTTCTTGGGTATCGGAAATAGTACTCTACAGCTTTTACACAATGAATTTTGTCGCTTTCTATTGGCGTTTTTCGGATTATCATTATTATTTGAAAAGTTTTCAAAAATTTTTAAACGGTGAAAAAATAGAGGATATGTTTATTAAGGAAGCCGTGGATCATTACGAACACGTTTGGATATTACACAAGGGAATAGATTTCAAATCCGTTTTTTCAAAATTTCCAGCCATTTTACACGAGGATCTCATGATGTCCGTTTACGAACAAACTTGGAATTACGTGAGTTGTTTTTCAAAAGCAAATAATTCATTTTATAGAATACTTTCCGCGGCCGTCGTTGAAGTTTATTTGAAAAAAGGTTCGATAATATTATTTGAAAAACAAGTGAACGGTATAATTTATTTCGTACACGAGGGACAATGTTACGTAAATAAGAAATTGATGACGTTGAACAGAGGAACCATTTTTGGTAACATACAGGGTGAGGACGTCATGAAAAACACGATAACCGCGAAAACACACGTCACGCTATTGAAAATCGATTCGGGTATTTTTTTTAAATTAATGGATAATTTTATACAAACGAAACATGTATTCGAAGCGGAAATAAAAAAATATGAAGATTTCGTAGAGGGATTACTCGAAGATACGACGGAAGAGATTTTTTACGATGTCACAATAGAAAAAACAAATGAAAAAAATGCAGAATCGAAATTTGAACCAATAAAAAAAACAACGTCGGCCGTTAGCAGAGACAGTCAATATCATTCATTGAGCGAAAGTCGTCATAGAAAAAGAGGACGAATGTTTAATCCATTTTCCGTAACTTCATCATCGTTGCACGTTGTTTTTTTCATAGTTTCCATATTAACGGTCGTTCTCATACCCATATTCATAGGTTTAAGATATTTTACAGCCTGGAGTATAACCGTTATTTACATGTTAGATGCAATATGGATAGTGAAAATAATAGTCACGCTAAGGACTCCAGTCGTTGATTCCAAAACTGGACTTTTAATATACGAAGGAAAAAAAATATTTTATAATTATTTAATTCAAACGGGTGGACTACCCTGCGACATACTATGCGTTCTACCACTCGAAGTAATACGAATAATCGTTAATTTAATTATAAACGATAAAAATTTTTTTTGTTTCATTTATTATTATTATCTATTAAGAACCCTTAGAATTTTTTACATAAAAAAAATATTTAATAAATTAAAAAAGAAACTCGCCGTTAAAGCACCCACGAGATTGTTTATTATTTTCATGTTGAATTTATTCTACGTCAACACGTTCACATGCATTTCCGTTATATTTAAAGATCTCGATGGGGATAATTTAAAAAATTGCGATTATAGGTACACAATTGAAAAAATGACTTTTTTTAAAACTGAATATAATTGCGTGGTAAGATAATGATAATGATGATGATTGAAATCCTTTTAAATTTTTTTTTTTTTTTTTTACGAGGAGATTATATTTTTTGTTTTGTTTTTTTGTAAAGGTTCATATTTTTTGTGGGAGTAACATTTACAGTTGCATGCCCGAAAATAATTTACAAATATTTTTAGCATTTATAATATCAATATGCGGGTATTTTGCAAGAGCCATACTTTGTTCAGAAACTTTAGCCGTTTATCATTTTTTAAATCAATCTAAATACGATCAAATAAAACAATTGGACGAATTTGAAAATTATTTGGAGGTAAATAGGAGTAGGAGTAGTTATTTTTTTTTTTTTAATTTAATTTAATTTAATTTTTAATTAATTTTAGATGCGAAACATATCACCGGCTTTGCTTTATACGATAAAACGATATTTTGTCGATTTGATTGATATATGTAAGGAAAAAGCTTTGCCAAGTTTTTTAGTTACCGCACCGGATTACATAAAATTTCACATAATGTCGGATTTATATTTACATCATTTGACGACGTGTTTCGTTTTCGAGGGTGTCGATAGATCATTTTTAATACAGCTAACAACTCGTTTAGAAAGATATATTTATTTTCCCGGTAATTACATAACGGAACAAGGTGACGTCGATCAAAATATGTATTTCGTTCAAGAAGGTGAAGTTTACTGTTTGGAAAAGGATGCAAATTTTCCAGCACTCGAACGTCCCGTTAACGTCTATTCGAAAGATGAATATTTTGGAATTTTACAAGGGATTTTCCCATATTATCCTCACACGTACACTCATCGTGCCAGAATATTAACCGTTATATTAACTCTAAATTTTCATCATTGGGATGACATGAGAAAAGCAAATCCGGACATTGCGGAAATGATTTATACGAAAGTATCGCAAAAAGGAAGTTATGCAAATGATATTTATAATAATTATGCGAGTCAAAATGTTTAAATTACCTAATTTTATTATTTAAATTTAAATTAATGATAATAATTGTAATTAAATTGATTTGATTTTATATTAATAAATTTATCATATTAAAAAATTTACTCCGGATTGTAATAATTTTGAATTTCATAGAAGAACAAAAAGAAAATTTTTCTTTTAATTTTCAAACGTTGGCAAATCCTAATAGAAATTTTTAAAAATGGTGGATGTTGTTTCTAATGTCAAGTAAATTAAAATTGTTTTATTTAATAAATTTATTTCGTTATTGTTTGCCGATATTAAACGTTAAAGTTTTTATTTAATGTTTAATATATTTTTACAAACTATTAATTATTTATTCTAATTATTTTATTAAGTAATAAAAATGACTTAACCTTATCTGGTCGTTATAATTTAAATTTTTGTTTCGAATTAATTTTTTCGAATAATTAAATTAAGATTTAATAAATTTAGTTTTTTTAATTTAAATTGTGTTTTTACAATACCATGATTATTATTTTTTTAATTGCATACCGATAAATTTATAAAAAGTTTAAATTATAGAGAAATGTCAAAATATTAAATTGAAATTTTTTTACAATTGAACTGTTTAAGTTTAGTTAAAAGAAAAATGGAAGATCATGTAGGATATTCATTGGGTGAAGATGATATTAAAAAAGAAGAAGTCGATATGGATATGTAAGTAAAATAATAATTATTGTCTCACATGATTGAAATGTTTTATTATTATTATTAATATCACACATTATTGTTTGTTAATCAATAATATTTCATTTCAGAAAAGTATCGTCTCCTGCAATTAACTGTAACGAAGTTTCAAGGCTCCAATGTCATGTATGTTATAAAATAATGGGTCATAGGTCATCCTTATACAAGCATTTAAAATATGTTCATAAAATAGAACCGGCTCACAGGTTGCCAATATCCTGTAGAGAAAAGGACTGTTATCAAAGTTTTACATTTATTGATCCGTTTCGAAGGCATTTAGCTGAACAACACGGGTTTAACATTGTCGTCGAGAAATATGTTTTTCAATCTATGTCAGGTAAAATTAAAAAAAGTTAATTATTATTATTATTATTATTATTATTATTATTAATTTTAATGTAGTTATTATTATTTTAAATGATTTCTTACAGATTTTTTTAGTTGGAAAAAAGTTACGGAGCAAGAAGAAAATTTAAGATTTATAGTTAGCACAGGGCCGAGAAATTCAAAGGGTGGTAAAACTCATTATTACAGATGTCAAAAAAATGGCGCATATAAACCGGAAATAAAAAAAAGACTTCAATCTGATGATCGTGATTCCATTTATAACGTGTCGACAACTCATTGTATATCTAGCATGTTTGTTTTCGAAGAACCTGATTCTGTAACTGTAGAATTTTGTAGGACTCATTATGGACACGATGTCAATCAAAAAGGTATTTAATAAATAAATAAATAAATAAAAACAGGGACCAAGTTTTTCATTTAATTTTTTTTTTTTTTTTTTTTTTTTTTCAGACGGTAAAGCCAAATACGATCCTTTTCCCAATTCGCGAACTGTAATTAACGAAAGTCATCTTAATTACGAAACGATAGATTCATTTTCAAAATTAGAATCATTATTAAGTAAAAACGACAGGACGGCTTTAGTGACGATACTGAGAGAGAATCAACATTTGTTAGAGGAAACGGAATTGTTTTACGAAAACGAACAGGATATCATACTTAAAATCCCATACAACATATTGAAAAAACTCGTAGAAGAAGGTTTGGATAAATTTGATAAAAGCGACGACGACGACGATGATGATAATAATTACAACGAACAAATCGTTACCGGATCCGCACACGGATTCGAAGGTTTTCCCTTCAACTATAAAAATTTTTAAAAAAACTTTATCCACTTGTAAAATATTTATTTATTTTTTTTTTATTTGTTTGTTAAAGATGGAGATTTAAGTTGCGACGAAAGCACGGTGGAAAAATTAGACGAAGAAGTCGAAAACGAAGATTCAACAATATTGAAATCATTAGGTAACGGAGTGTTTTTAGATCCGACGTCAAATAAAAGACTCAAATTAGATTTTAAAGAAAAGAAACAATATTCCGGAGGTACGAGTAGTTTATTAATTAAATGATAATTCAAAAGAAATAATAATAATTATTTATTAAAAAAATTTTTTTCAGGTTCGAACGAAACGGAATCGAGGAGAAAGGATACGGGGAAAAATACGATGTTGGTTAAAGAATATTTAAACGAATACGACGAAAAAGTTTATATTTTAGAACCCCTCAAAGAAGAGGAAACTGTTGTTCAGAAACGTGAGAAAATTCTATCACAATTACAGGGGATTTTAATGTTGGTAAATAGTGAAAACGATACGGAAATTTTGGACGATATACAAAATCATTTGAGCAAATATGCGTTGCCCGAATGAAAACCTTTTAATATTCATCATCATCATCATCATCAACAAATGAATACGGTTTCGCTTATTATTATTATTATTATTATAAATTAAACGAAATCGAACAAGGATTTGAAAGGGAAAAGGACAAAAGTCAAAAAAGTTCTTCGTGAGTCTGCTTTGAATCAAAGTGAAAATAATATAATAATAATAAGAATATTTCCAGTTTTAATTTTTCCAGTTTAAATTGTTGTTTAATAAATAAATAAAAAGTGGGCGTGTGCGTGTAAATAATAATTGTTCGATACCTCAGTTTTGTTACATTAGTTTATATTTTATGTATTATCGTATACATAAAATAATAATATATCTATATATATAGAAAATTTTCTTTTTTTTTTTTTTTTTTTCTAATAGAATAAGGTGAAAAAAATTTAATGGAAAAGGTTCGAAAGGTTTCGTAAATGAATAAAAAAAAAACGTTTGTTTTATTATTAAATGTGAATATATTATAAAAATGAAATTGTTTTAAAATTATTTATATATAAATAATTCCTGAGTGTATTTGTGCGTACGATTGTATATATATATATAAGTTTGTTATTGTTATGATAGTTAATTAAAACAATCGCATGATTTATATTAATTAATTAATTAAATAAAATTATTAATTAAAATTATTTTTTTATTTTGCAGTTATTGAAGAAAACGTACGGATGTTCTTCCTTCTTCATACACGGTGGTCAATTTTTTGGGTGGAATCAATAAAACCCCGGATGATTTAATAAAATAAGGTAAGTTATTTATTTTTTTTTTTTACTAATTAAAATTATAATCAGGTTCGTAATCAGGTTGACGGAAAAAAGATGGTTGGTGTCGATGGCGATGACTTATTTTTTCCTCGAATGATTCTTTTAACAAATGATTATTGGATTTAAATCCGACGGTTGCTGATACTATGAGTGAAAAAAGTGCGACCAAAAATACTTTTATCATGAACATTCCCATTGTTTCTAATGCAAATGGCATGAGTGTACGTTCTGTACCAACAATTTTCAATGTTTTATCTCCGTCGTACCTGGAACGTTCTTTTCCTAAAAAAAAAAAATTTAAAACTTTATTAACTTCGCGAATGGTATAAATTATATATAGAAAATATTATTCTAAAACTGGAAAAAATTGAGTTTAGAGACATCTTGGGTAAATGTTTAACACTAAAACAATTAACCTGTTTATTAATTTATATAAAAGATGGCGCGAAATTTAATTATATATATCACGTGGGAAAATGAGTTTAACGAAAAGTTATTGATAACGCAAAATGATAACAAAAATAAAAATGGATGCATAATAAAAAGTTATTTTATTTAATTAAAGGGTTAATAATATTTTTAATTAATCAATAATGATTATTTAAATAAGACTAAAAATAAAAATAATAAAAAGGAGTAGAAATAAAAAGTAAAGTTTTTACTTACCTTTGACATTTTGATTAATTTTATCAAAACGTTTTGAAATTTTTGAAGTTTTATCAAAAAAAGGCGACGGCGATGATGATAATGATGAAACGATAATTAAAGAATTATTATCGTAATAATTAAAAAATTCAATTTGATTTTCAATTGAATTGTTTTTATAAAGATTATTTTTGTCGCGTTCGAAATCGTTATTATTTATCAGAGATGAATTTATTAAAGAACACGATATTAATTTATTAATTAAAATTATATTAAATAAAAAAATAAATAATAATAAACGTTCGTACATGGTTTTAAACAAACTGTCAACTCGCCTTTTTTTTCAAAAATATTTTTTTTTTTTTAATAATTTTAATTTTTTTTTTTTTGATTGTAACGTTTTGGTATTTTATTTTTACTATTATTATTATTATAATTTAAATTATCCACTTAATATAATAAAATAAATTTTTTTTGGCGTATCCGTAAATAATAAACGGATCGTTGATATTTTTAAATGAGGATTAATAACGGAAATTTTTTTTTTTTTTTAAATATTATTATTATTATTAGTTATTTAATTATTGTTTTATTATCTTTTTTTATTACCGGTATGAATTTAAATAATTACGGTTAAACGTTTTTTTTTTTATAATATTTTTTAAACGTCTTCGTAATTGTAGCGTGCATTTTAAAAAAAACAAAACAAAAACATAAACAAAAAATGTAAACATGTTATTATTGTCGGGTGCTGCGCTCTCGCGGTCAATTTTATAACTAATTTTTTTGTATTAGTTACTGCGTTTTGACGATAGATGTCAGTGTATTGTGTTAGTTATTGCGTTTTGACGATAGATGTCAGTGTATTGTGTTAGTTATTGCTTTTTAACGATAGATGTCAGTGTATTGTATTAGTTATTGCGTTTTAACGGTAGATGTCAGTTCGATGTGTTTCTTTTTCAAAATTTATTTTCATAGAGTGTTTAAACGTGCGATTAGTGTGATTAATTATAAAAGATGATCGTCACGCCGACAAAGTAATTTTTTTTTTTTTTTTTTTTAACGAATCAATTAATTATTATCGATTTTTTTTTTTTATCATCATTATCATTATTATTATTTTTCGGTTGTTGTAATAACGGTTTCCGTTCGTCGCCATCATTATTATTATTATTATTATTAATTAAATTAAAATTTTTTTCTTGGATGTCGTTAAAATTTTGAAATTCTTGATTTTCAATAACCCACGATGGATTCGTCGGTTGGAAATCGTAATAAAATGGCGTCGGTGAGAAATTTTCATTCCTTTAAAAAAAAAAAAAAATTTTAAAAGGTTACCGGAAAGAGTTTAGGGGGGGAAAGAGGGGAAGTGGAAAATTCCTTTTTTTTTTTTTTGTTGACATTACCCGTTTTCGAAATGTTGTTTTCCATAATTTTTACAATTGATATAAACAGGAGGTTTTTCTTGTATGTAGGGTACGTGATGAGGAAAATTTATTTGTGGAGGACGACGGCGATTCCTTTGCGGTTTATCATATTCATTTTTGCTGTAAAATACCCTAAAAGCGATTGCTTTTGACACTAGCAAAGCCGTCACGCCCGCCCAAAAACCTTTCAATGCGATCAAACCGATTTTTATTAAAAATAATGGCACCATTATTGTCGATATTATTTTCAATACTATTGCTGTCGGCAATGCACCTTTTTTTATTTTTTCTTTTACTTTTTCTTTTATTTTTTCTTTTATTTTTTCTTTTATTTTTTCCGCATCGTATCCTCCTCCTCCTCCGTGTCTTCTACCTAAAAAAAAAAAAAGAAAAAAAATTTTAAAATATAATTTCCCTTTTTTTTTTTTTGAATTCCATCTCATTTCATCTTTGATTAATAAGTAGATTTAGAACGTGAAAAAAAAAAAAAAAACATCATTTTTTAAACGACTCATATGATTTTAAATTTTTAAACGTCACCGTTGATAAAGTCACATGGTCTGCCGTGGTGGTGGTGGTGGTAGAAATGCGTGACTGCGTGACTTCATGTAGGATTTTTTTTTTTCTTTAAAAAAATTTCCAGTTAAATTTTTGAGTCATCAATTCAGGTGTAACTTTTTTTACAGACGTTTAATGAGGCCAAATTTTTCATTCCGTTCTTTATTATTATTATTATTATTATTACATCGTCGTGTAATTAGATTAAACCATAAAAATTATTAATTTTATTTATTATTTATTTACCTTTTACCGCCGATGAATTTTTTAAAATACTTACTTAATAATATTTATGTATTATTGTTATTCGTTTAATTGGGTTAAATAACGTCATTCAAAATTCAAATTTAAAAATTTTTTGGCGGGAAAAATTTTGGCGCGAATTTTTTTTTACCGTTTATAAATTTTTCAAATTTTTTGATATTTAGTTTTATATTATTATTATTATCGTTTGTTTAATTGGGGTAAATGACGTCATTCGAAATTCAAATTTAAAAATTTTTTGCGGGAAAATTTTTGGCGCGGATTTTTTTTTACCGTTTATGAATTTTTCAAATTTTTTGATATTTATTTTATATTATTATTATTATCGTTTGTTTAATTGGGGTAAATGACGTCATTCATGTGATTCAAATTTAAAATTTTTTTGGCGGGAAAATTTTTGGCGCGATTTTTTTTTTTTTTTTAATCACAAAACGAAAAAAATTTAAAATGTCGTCGTCATTCGCGAACGGTTTTTTTTTTTTTTTATAAAATGGGAGATACGTTTTATGATTATCGGTCGATTAATCGATATATCGAATAATTATCGAATTTGTATCACGAATCAATTTTTTTTCGTTTTCGAATTTCTTCCGAACGTCGCGTTCGGAAACGAAAAAAATTTTTTTCTAAATTTAAAAAATTTTTATTTCGATTATCGAATCATTTATCGTATCAAACGTTCGAGATAAATTATTTTAACTCATCTTTTAAGATTTTTTATTCGTGAATTACGTTTTCTAGCGGTTTTTTTTTAAACGTGCGTATTATTTGAAAGAGAACCCATTTTTTTTTTTTTTTTGGAGTCTAAATACACGTCGAACGGGTAGTCGTAGTGGGACTCCGTTTTTAAAAAAAAGTAAAAAAAATCTTTTTCTGAACAACAAACAAAAAACGTGACCCCCAAAATTTTCAACCTTGACCGCTCTTCCTGTCTCCTACAATATCCTTGACATTGTTCGGGCGCCAACCTGTTCGACTATATTTATGTTAATTATTAATATGGACCGAAAAAAAATGTTTATAACAAGTTACGAACCACGAACTGGTTCCCATAAAAAATAATAATGATGATAATAATAATAATAATAATAACTACAAAATAAATAAAAATAACTTTTCGAAAATAAAAAAAAAACGAAAACGGGGAGGTTTAAGAACCGACCGTAAAAAAAATAAAAAATAAAAAATTATTTATTATTATTATTATTATTATTATAACGTGTTGGGAGAGGGGGGGGGAAAGAAATTAAAATCGTCTGCTAGATTTCAAATATGATTTGTTATGAAATTAAATTTTTTTTTATAACAACCGGGTATAATATGACCCTTGAAATTTTTTCATTTCCGTTTTTTCTTTTTCTCTTTCTTTTCTTCGTTTCCGTTACGTCATCATTTTTTAAAATTTATAAACGTTTTTTTTTTAAAAAAAATGATAATAATAATAATTTATAAAGTTTGAGAGAAAAAGAGAAAGAGAGAGAGAGAGAGTATAATTTTAATGAAAATAACGAACCTTTCCACGTTTGTAACATAGTTAAATTTTTTTCATTTTCCGGAAATGACGAAATAATAATCGTTTGTAAATTCTCGTGATAATCTTCGTTGTTTATCTCGACTTTCCCGTTTTCCATTTCCACATTTTCCGAATGAAAATTATTTTTTTTAACGAGAGAAAATCCATCGTAATTTTTTTTCATTATACTTTTTCCACAAGTCATGTTTAATATCGTCATCGTTGTTATTATTATTCTTAAAAAAACTTTTGATGTTTTCAAGTCGAAAACCTTAAAATAATAATAATAATAATAATAATAATAATAGTATGTAAATTAGAAAAAAAAATACTGAGATGATGATAATAATAAAACTTTTTTAATTTATTTTATTTTTTTTAAAAAAAAAAAGAAAAAAAAAGGGGAAGAAAAAGATGGCGGATTTTTAATAATAAATTTTTTTCATTCAATTTAAATAATAAGAAAAAAAAAAGAAAAAGTTTTTTCTTTTTTCATCTCTGTAAAAATATAGAGTTATTTAAATAAAGGGAAATTATTATTATTATTATTATTATTATTATTATTATTATTATTATTATTATTATTATTATTATTATTATTATCGTAGCAAGTTATAATTAGTTTATTTATTTATTTTTTATTTACTCATAAAGGGAAATTTTTTTTTTTTCTTTGTAAAAGAAAAAAATCGAATGGTTTAAGAATTTTACCATAACGACAAAATAAATAAAATCACGTGACCTAAATTTTTACTTTTTTTTTATAAATCGGATAAACATGTCGGTTATAAACAATGACATCGGTGTTTACTGAGAAAACTATAAAAAAAAAAAAAAACCAAATCCAACGATGCTTGACGGTATGTACAACCTGTCAACCTGTTACGCCTTTCTTTTTCATTTACAAAAAAAAAAATGTTGCCAACTGCGTTCCTATACTTTCTCTCTTTTTTATATCCTCGATTCGAATTACGCCCCTCGACCCCACCCCACCCCCAAACTTACCACCCACCCACCCATCACCTAATACTTCTTCAAAAGTCTTTAACCGACATGAAAATTTGAAATTAATTTGAAAATTTTTCATTATTAATTAGGCAATTAATTACCCGCCTAATCGCGTGTGTGTGTGCACGTGTGTGTGAGGGGGTGCACGTGCGTACACGTCCCGAGAAGGAAAATTTATTTCGTGTAATTTTTTCAATCCCTCTTCACACCGACCGGGAATATTTTCGATTTATTTAAATTTTATATTTATTTCACTTATCCGACATTTTGAAACCCGTTCGACGACGGCACGAAACAATAATAATAATAATAATAATAATAATAACTTCAGAAGATTTTCTACATAAATCTGTCGAGAGGTTTACGTAGGGTAAAAAAAATTTATTTGGGGGGCGTCAAAAGCGGACGGAAGGGTTTGAGATTGAATCGTTTCTGTAAAATCACTTATTCGACAAAAGTATAAAAATTTATGTATTTCGAAAGAGAGAGAGAGAGAGGGACAGAGAGAGAGAGAGTGAGAGAGAGAGAGAAAAAAAATATATTTCTTACCTTTAGTAATAATAAATAAATAAAACCCATTACTTTTAATAACGGCTTAAAAATCACGACTGATATTTTTTTATTTTTTATTATTTAAATAAATATAAAAACCGAACCTTAAAATAGTAATAATAATAATAATAATTTTTTTGGCTTAAATCCATGACATAATTTTTCAGGTACGTGAAAACAAACCGAAAAAAAAACTGCCAAAAATAAGTAAAAATTTTTTTTTTAAACGTTAATCTTTTTTATTAAAATAAATAATAAATATTGACCGACATTATCCGTTATTGATTCAATAATAATAATAATAATAATTAATTAATAATTATTTATTTAAATAAATTTATGTATGAGTGACAAATAATATTCATTCGGGTTAAAAGAAAAGAAACGACGAAAAATAAAACAAATAATAAATATCTGACGCATACCAAAAAGAAAAAAAATTTCCTTCCACTTCCGCTCTTACCCCGCCCCCTTCGCGCCGCCCCCCGTGCCCACGTCCCGCTTCCTTCCTACGGTTATCTACGTACCTGATAAATTTAAGGTTTTTGGGTCAGTGGATTTTTATGACGTTGTGTATACAAAAGTTATCCCAATTTCATTAAAACTATTTATTTATTAATTGATTTTATTACCTACGCGCATACCTACGAAAACGACGATACATCGGAACCACAATCGATAATCGATTTATCGATTTCGATTATCGATTAATTATTTTGACTTTGACACGTTTTCAAACTTAACGTCATTCACGATACTAATTTTTCGTTTGTATGCTTAAACAAACCGAGAAGAGAATATTTATCGTATGATGAGTTTAAATAAATATTTATTAATACGACAAACGGTTTAAATTTTCATTCGTTTGTTTGTTTGTTGTTTGTTTTATAAAAAAAAAAAAAAATTAATTTTTGGCGTAAAATAATTATGTAAATATTAATAACCGTTTACCGGGTGAAAGTTTAAAAAATCCTTTAAGACCCGACAAAAAAAAAAATTGTTTTCTTTTCTATTGTCCTACGCATAAAACAAACGATAACAAACGACGAACGGAATGAATTTCGAAAGGAATAATAATAATACTAATAATAATAATGATGATAATAAATTAAAATAATTTATTCGTACAAATTTATTAATTATAATGTTTCGATTATTACAAAAAAAAAAAACAATCAACAAACAATTTATTGTCTCGATGGCAGTGTTTGTTTATTGTTTAAAAAAACACATTAATAATTTTTAGTAGTAGTAATAGTAGTAAAAGTAGTAATAATAATAATAATAATAATAATAATAATAATAATAATAATAATAATAATAATAATATAAATAATAATTTAAAAAAATAAAAAAAACATTACTGATAATATTTATAATATATATTATTATTATCATCATCTATCGAAATCTAATAAA